ACGTCGAACTGGAGTGTGCGCGTGGGCTGGGCGTAGGCGGATGTGTGAGTGAGAGCAAGGACACATGGTCACCTTTGGGCTCCACGGCGAGGGGCGTGGCACATTCGTTTGGATCTATGGCACGAGTTACCACGAGGTCAATTTGTGTATGTGTTGCGTACAGTTCAGTTTTATGTGAAATTTGCTGGTGAATCCATGAAGCTAAGACTGTACTGACTCTCCGGATAGGCTGCTCCGCCCTTGAAAGTGTGGTACGTTGTTGGCTGTGTTTTACTGACTCTGACTATTATACAGCAGGTATAATATAGCTGTAATATTTAACAACAAAAAAAGCATCGTACTAAATCAACAGTTGTTTGAGACCATTTCATTGCACTCGGCAAGCCTCATGCAATTTAAAGGTCTACAATTGTTCTCAGATCAGACTGGATATCATATGTGTGATGGATTATCTATACACTTTGGTAGGATGATTGTATCAGCGTCAGGGGGTGATGTATTTTTGGGGGGATGCTCATCGTACATGCTACAATACAGTACCCTGGTACTTTTCATTGTTATAGAAGTTTCCTGTTTAAATTGTATTAAGGCTTAAAATTATGAAAAAATAAATATGTACTACTTAAACATTATTTGTCCCCAAGATCTATTATATTAATTGTGGCTGTATTTAAATCAAATCACTGTATACTGTCTCAATTGCAAGCAGGGGTCAGTCTCTTAATTAAATCGCAATAAAGATGGTGTATTTGTGAGATACAGTTCACCTTCATAAAGCCTTGTTTTATTCAAGGTTTTTTATTTTTTTTTGGTGCATTTTTTGCATTATATGTAGACTCCCACATTTCTGCTATTTTCATTAGCTGTGGAAATAATATTATTGTTCACAGTTCAGTTTTCAATATCACTTGTACCAGTTCTTGAATGAAACGATGTTCAATACTTTGCCATACTGCTTTCTATAAAGAAAAAAAATGATATAAAATGCTCTTTTTTCCACAAGGACATTTGTTTTTATCTGTTTCTTTTCTTTTCTTTTTTAATGAACTAAATATATATCCGGCGAGGTTACTATCATACATAAGCGTGCTGTGTGGGTGGGCCAGTTGGTTGTTATTTAAAAATACTGTTTGAATTCAACACAAGATTAAATTCTTGCTCAGCAACACAGATTTCATAGGTTGGACCACACACACAGAAACACGACTGAACTGAGGCCAATGTTCCAGGTTATGAACTCATCACAACCTAGAAGATAATTTCTGCTTTTAACAGTGTTTTGATTTCTAGTTGTGCTGTGGACATGAGCATTAATGCTGTTTGACCATTGGGGGTCACATTAAATTGGGGTTTGGGTACTAAATTACTGCATTTTTCAGAATTTGTCTGCATATATTATTGAAATGTTTTTATTTAAGTCAAGGAAAACAGCAAATTCCAGTATCAGGTGACAATTCAAACTAAACATTTTACATTACACATTTATCTCTGTTAAGACAGCACACATAAAGTTATGATTTAATCTTTTGTCCTTTTTTGTGACTTTTGTTGGGGAAAGTAACCTCTTTAAACACGCATGTGACACCTTTTCACATCACAAACCAATTCATTTTAATTATTTAATTTGACTATAAACCTCTGACCTTCAGTAGCTCACATGTGTAAGTTTTCTGCTCGTGTTTAAAACACATTCAAGCCAGACGTACTGTATCACACGCATCTGTGTCTGATATGCTGAAGGAAACATGTCTGTCCCTGTCAGATGTATCGTTGTGTCTATGACTGAATGTTATAGTAGTTTTTCAAAATAAAAGACCTGTACTTTTTTTTTTTAATGATGTGCATTTCCCCTCAGAGATCTGTGGCCTGTGGGTGGCTGCTGCGGCAACACGTACTGGATGTACGCCTGCTTCAAAGATCTGTTTGATTTCCTGTAATTGTGTTTATAATTAAATGAATACATTTTATCTCTAAAGCCAAAGAAGACCCAGAGGCATGCATCTGCTGCTGGCTGATAGTTGATATTACACCCTCTGGATGGTGACAGATAATGATATATATAATGTTATGAAGCTATCACACTATTGGCAAGGGGCGCACCTGATTTGGCCCAGCAGATACAAGTGGTGGCTACCACTCTTGTGGTTCTCAGTCAAATAAGCGGGGAGGGAAGGCAGGTGTAGGCCCTCCTTGACATTTGTCTGGCTACAAAGTGCTAAATTAATAGAATCTTAACATAGAGCTTACTGGCTTGTTATAAATAAACCAGCAAGAACTATTTTTTTTTTTTTATCTTCGGAAACAAGCTGTGAAAACTGATCAAAAAAATAAATAAAAAAAAGACTGTGCAAACCTTGCAAACAGTCGCTTGCACTTTTGTGTCCAGAACATACAAAGGCACAAGTACTTATTAGTCAATGTATTTCCCATCAAACTTAACTGCACCACTTGCTGTCTCATTAGCTGTGTTCCTCCTGTACCAACACCTAAGGGAAATATCTGGCTGCTTGGCTGCTTAGCTGCTAAGCGCTCAATGTTCAGCAGGTAGTCAATAACTTTATCTGAATTGTGTTTGCAGGTTGTGTACAGTAGAGTTATTCCCTGAAAACAGATGTCTGCTGCGGCTAACGAGAGAAATAAGAGTCAGTAAAAGCAATCAATTTGTGGTTCAGGATACCGAAACAGTGAGCTGAAAGACATACAACTATTGTTAGAACTGAGCGAAGATACAGAAAAGGTCATAATTTACTGGGTTTGCCACTAAAACTCTGTTCACATAAACACATTTGTTTGATGGTAACATCGAAATTACAGCTACAGCAGCTTTAAAGGAAGAAACTATCAAGACATATTAAAAGTTCCGAAGTCCATCCATCCATCCATTTTCTATACACCACTTAATCCTCACTAGGGTCGCGGGGGGGCTGGAGCCTATCCCAGCCGACTCAGGGGACACCCTGGACAGGTCACCAGTCTATCGCAGGGCTACACTTAGAGACAGACAACCAAGCACACTCACATTCACACCTACGGACAATTTAGAATCACCAATTAACCTCAGCATGTTTTTGGACTGTGGGAGGAAGCCGGAGAACCCGGAGAGAACCCACGCTGCACGGGGAGAACATGCAAACTCCACGCAGAAAGATTCCGGTGCCCCCACCGGGACGCGAACCGGCAACCTTCTTGCTGCGAGGCAACAGTGCCACCTTGCAGCCCAGTTCCGAAGTCAAATGGACGTTTTAAGTTAAGACTCTTCATTGTGTGATGTAGAGCAGCCACTGTGGGACCCTAAACATCGAGTGTGTCATTAGTTAAATACATACTTTCAGTTCTTTGCTACAAATTCCACTGGAAAATTACTTGCTACACCCTTAAAATAACAATGGACAGTTACAGAACACCTTGTGTTGATGGAATAATCAGTGGGTTTTTTTTGTATTTTTTGCTACTCTTTCTGGTGTTTAGTTCTTACAGTGTAAAGTGGCCCAGCTGCTGTCTTTACACCTTACTGTTTAGCTCACAACCTTTGAAAGGCTTATTAACCATCATTTATGTAGAGTGTCTTCAAAGTGTATTGATATCTCTGTGTGCAGTTAGAAATTGCTTCTAGTGTGATCTCCTTTTAGCGGATGTGCTGCTGTTAACAGCAGATAAAGCTGCAGCAAGCATCATTGAAAAACAATGTCTGAGAGGCAAAAGCACGAGTTTAAAATCCTTGTATTTTGCTGTTTAAAAATTTTCCACCACAGTTTCACATCAAAAGGAAACCATTACAATAAGAACCTGTCAGTTATGACTCCAAAACTGATGAATAGAATAGAATAGAATAGAACTTTATGGATCCCTTTGGTGGAAACCTCTGGGAAATTGCTGAATAAAGTGCTATTTTGGTGAAACATGGTAGGATTTTCCAAATATTCTCTCAACCTGTTGGACAAACAATACAAATTCCACTGTGCAACAGAGAGAGGAGTTGTCCTGCTGCACGTCTGCATGGTTTGAGCAATTTCAGTCAACCTTCAGATGTTAGGCGAGTATTAGATTAGGTATGGGCTACTTGTTTCCAAGTGTTACTGGCGTAATCCGGGCTTTAAGTGCCAAATCTGCCACCTATTACCAGCTGAGTTGATACAAAACCCTTCAATATCTAAGTAAGGCTCACCAGCTGAACAGCATATTATAGTGCAAAGCTGAAATAAGATGACTTGTACAAATAACCTTGCATGGTCAAAGCTGAAATGGATCGGAGGGCTTATGGTTAATGAGCAGTTTGTTTTAGTAACTGTGATAAAATAGCTTTATCATGGAACCACCAGAAGACTTCCACACTGGTGCTAAGAGGGTTTGGATAGGAGGAAAGCTTACAACAAAAAAAAAATCAGAGAAGCAGCTCCATGGTTACTTTCACCCCACCTGAGGTTGAATTGCTACAGCTCATGACATTTTTCTTACACCAGTATGAGTCGGTGGCATCCTCACATGCACCAGAGAACTAAAAGCAGCAACGAAGCAGCTCGGAAATGGATGATGGAGAACAGAGTGGAGATATAATTAACGGATATGACTGAACAAAAACTGTGATTTACGGTGTCAGTCTTTACAAAGTGTCTGCAAACAGCTTTTTCCATTTCTTGTAGCAGCAGCAAGGTGTCCGTGCACACGCGTGTACGCTCACAGCACGAAATAAGTGATGTTATTTGTACAATATGTATCTTCAAACACATCTGCGGGTGTCCAATTCTAATCGTTTTGAGCCGCACTTGGCGCGCTGCGACTTATCCTCCTTGATCCATCTCTGTCAGCAGATGCACGCTGCGATAACTGAGCATCAAACAACATCCCTTCTCTAGATTTCCACCACCGTGGCTTCAAATTTTCTTTTTCTTGCAGCAGTATGTCCACTTCCCCCCCAATAAAGTTGTTCTAACTCTACTTTAATGTTTTCGCATGAGTCGTTACGCACGAATGGAGAAAGCAATACTCGAGACGCAACTTACCAAGCGAGTTTCCAATGAGTGAGACGAAGAACACAATGATGTAAGCCACGATTAGAACCCATTCATACTGCTTGGGGTGCAAGTATTCTCTCCAGATGTATCTCAGAAGTTCATCATCCTCGTCCACGGCTGAGCGCACATCTGTGCTGTTGGCCACATGTGCAGAAGAGAAACATTCCTCGCAATCCAAATTCCCAGTGATCCCGGACATCCTTCAGGTGTTTTTTGTAGTTTGTTTTTTTAAGTGTCTGTTAAAGCTGCTGTTGTTGATCGTACTGACCGCAGGTCGGTGAGTTCACTGCCAACAAGGACGTGGCACTGTGGTGCGGTGATAAGACGCTTCACAGACCTCGTCAGTGTGACGCTGGATTCCGTCTGCACGCAGGGTCATCAACACAGCTGAGTGTAGCGAGTGAGGAGCTGCAGCAGCCAACCTCTCATTCACAGAAAAACAGGAGGGGAAATGGAATGAGAGAAAAAAAAAAGAAAAAGCTTGAATGGAACACAGACGCTTATTAACGTGCATCATTTTTACCTAAATGCCAGCTGATTGTGATGCTTGATTTGTGGCACAACATCCCATTGCTTTATTTTTATCATTTAATCAAATTTTATTGATATGGCACTTTTCATACAAACAAAAATGCAACACGAGGTGCTTTACAGAGAAGTAAAAACGATCATATCCATGTGGAAATTGTTCATGTGGATGTAGGATTCAGAACCATTTGAACACTTCTTGCAAGTGAGATGGACACAATGTTGTACATGAATGGACTCGGCTGCCACAATATCGAACTGCAGCAGCTACATCTGCTTTAAATTCAGTGCAGAACTCTATTACAAGCCTCTGAAGGAGGGATGCATGCATAAATATTCCAAGGATGACTCTAGACCATTTCATCTACCAGTTAACCTGCATCAAATCACATGAGCTGTATACATAATCGTGCAATTTATTAGAGAGCATTACCTCAGGTTGCCTGAAAATGTGCATTTGATTGTGTGAAGATAATAGAGTGGTTTGTGTACTTATGATGGAAACACTGCCTTGAATAATTAGAATGCACATTGTATCTCCTATGTTTTTTCTTTTTTGTCTTGAAGAGTCATAATTACGCATTCAGTGTCAAGAGTTGAAATAGCTCTGTATTGCAAAGAAATATACACACCATCCTGTTCCATCCCTGCATCTTGTTTGACTTTACTGTGTCTAACTGGGTTTGTTGAAACAACAGTTAGAAACAAACTACATAATTTGTAAAAACAGTGTGGTTTCAGTGAGGAAAGTAGCCCAAGATGATGAAACCGCTGGAAGCCTGCAGCCAGACAAACAAGACAAAACTGCACCCAAGGTTGCTGAGAGTTGGGGTCGAAATGGATTCAATCACGAATCTGAAAAGAACAAGCTGATGCTTAATAATGCATTGTGTCATTTTGTTGCAGCACTGTACACATTGTGTTATCAGAGCAACGGTTTTCCGACTGTTCAGGCCACATCAGATGAGCTACTAATCATATTCTCAACATGTTCTTTGAATTGATTTGAACCAAAATGACTAGCTGTAAGGAAGGAGTGGACAAGGTTACAACAGGAGCCACTTCTGTTGAAGGAGTGAAATAAAATCTTTCACTCGACTTCAAAATCAGTTCACATAACCCACAAGTGACTTGTTCTACAAATAAGGCACCACCTTCTAGACATTATTATGAGAGACAATACTTTGTGTTTGAGGATAGACCTTCAACTGTGTCCACCAGGGAACCCTGTGGAGGGGATTCCAGGACTCTGCAAATGGTCTGCACTTATACAGTGCTTTTCTACCTAAGTTGTGCTCAAAGCACTTTACATGTTTCCCATTCATCCATGGTGCTTGCCGGCCATCAGGAGCAACTTCGGGGTTCGGTGACTTGCCCAAGAACACTTTGGTGTCACGATGGGGGATCAGGGAACCCAGGTGCAGACACAGATCAGGCAGGCGAGGTTTACACAAAGATTTATTAAACAAGAATAAAAACTGAGATGTGGAAACTAAACTGAGGGGGAAAAAACAGAACAGGAAAACCAAACCGAATTACAAAGGGGGCAAAACTAGAAAAACCTAAAAACTCTAAACAAAGAACAGAGGAGGAAAAAAAAACCTAACAGATTCTAAGATACAAAACAAAGCTACTCAAACAAACAGGGATACTCACAGAAAGACACAAACAGAGGGGGCAGACAGGCTCAGGGAATCCAGGCTGGGGACAGAGCAGGAACTGGCAAAAACATGCAGGAGGAATGTCTATGGTCTGACAGCTTGTGGTGGAAAGAACAGAGTCTTTTATGGGAGCTGTGGTGATTGTGTACAGGTGAGTCTGGAGAGGCAGCTGTGGGTGATTGTCCTTGATTAAGTGCTGAGATGCATGGGGGAAGAGAGAGAGAGAGACAGAGAGAGGAGGGAGAAGAGAGGTAGAAAAAGAGGGAGACAGGCAAGGGCTGGGGCTGAAGCTGGGGGGTCATGACATTTGGCTTGCGATTAGTGGACAACCGTTCTGCCACCTGAACCACAGCCGCCCACTAGAGCACTAAGATTGTCGATTCATCCTGTCCTTGTAGAACCAAAGTGAGAACTGTGTGTTTGTATTCTTGGCACAAAGTCAGACGCATCTTCATTGGGTGTTGAACTCCCTCCGGTTTCCGATCATTCATGATATTCATGGACACAGTTTCAAGGTGCAGCCAGCGTGAGGTGGATCACAGGTCTGGAATTGATCAGAACCTTCAAGTCTGAGGCCATGTTCTCTTCCAGGAACTGTTGGACTACTCCCTCTTACTGCCCCAAGCAAAGAAGGTTAATTATCTCCGGATCTTATTCACGAGTGACAGGAAATGGAGCGTGAGAAGCACAAATAGATTGGTGCAGTGTCAGCAGTAATGCAGTCGTCGTACTGAGCCGTCATGGTGAAGAGGAAGCTTGCCAGAAGGTGAAACTCTCGATTTATTAGTCAATATATGCTCCAACCCTAACCTATTGTTGTGAGCTCTAGGTAGTGACTGAAAGATGAGATTGCTGATACATGCAGATAAATAGATTCCTTTGTAGAAGAACCAGGATTAGCCTTAGAGAGGCGAGGAGTCCGGTCCCTGCTCCTCCAGTTCTCCTCCATTTTCTGGGTTGCCAGGGTGACAAGTCCCTCTCCATCTAATATATGATTGATTGGCTGAAAAGGAGGGACAGTAAAGAAATACAATTGTTATAGATTACAAAGAAACATAAACCAGCACAAAATATGTTTTCCTCAAAACGTAGCTGAGAAGGCAGTTTTGACACGTTGGAATGTAATTTTGTAGATACTTGGTTGGTGGACAGAGGGACGTTTGGTGCAACTCAACCAGATAAGTGGAAAAATAGATGGATGGATAAATGTATGAGTTGTCACTAATATATTAACAATCATCTATAAAAGCAATCTGAATGGATGATAAAAAAAAAATAATAATAAAATGTTTTCCAGGTGCGGAATACCAGGAGATCCTTTACATCTATTCTGGGACTGTCAAGGATTATGGCAAAGTATAACAGAGGAGATTAGAAAACAAGTGTAATTGCAATGGACCCTGTGTTATTTTTACCTGTAGAACCATCCCAAAATGTAATGAGCAAAGACCAAGCATATGTGTACTTCACTGACTGTAAATGGGAAGAAAGCACATACACCAACACAAACTTCATTTACTCTGAGATGGGAGTAAGTCTGCACACTGGAACATCAGACAGCAAAACTGCAAACAAAGAAAGACATTTTTCTACAAAGATGTACTCCGCTTAGGTTGTGTTGAGATGTTCAAATGTAAAGATACAGACACATGTACCTAGAAATGGAGAGGAAACAAAAGCCATGTGTCAAGGACTGTTTTGTAGTACTGTATGTTCTACATCAGTGATACTGAGATTTAAAGTTACAATAAAAGAAAACTTGCTGTCACATTTCTGTGGTAAGTTGGAAGACTGACGTTTGTTCACCAACCCTGGATATGTTTTGTCCTGTTTTAAAAAATTGTAGATACAATATATTCTTGTCCTTGCCATCATCGCTGTCCGGTTGTCCTTGCAAACTGTATTTGGGTATTGATTTTTCTAACTGTAGTTCCATTATTAGGAAACAGGAGGTATTTTTTCATCATGCTGAGGTTTGCCTCATTTCTGACTTTCATTCCTTTGCTGTGCTGCTTCGTCCTTCAGAAAAGAAACGTTTTGTTTTGCTTTTTTATTGTATTGTAAAGAAGATGCTTGATTCTTCTATGATGTCTGCACAATGTGGGCTGCATGATGGCTCGCCTCACAGATAGAAGATCCCCGGTTCATATCCTGGCCTGGGATCTTTCTGCGTGGAGTTTGCATGTTCTCCCTGTGCAGCGTGGGTTCTCTCCGGGTTCTCCGGCTTCCTCCCACAGTCCAAAAACATGTTGAGGTTAATTGGTGATTCTAAATTGTCCGTAGGTGTGAATGTGAGTGTGCTTGGTTGTCTGTCTCTAAGTGTAGCCCTGTGATAGACTGGCGACCTGTCCAGGGTGTCCCCTGCCTTCACCCTAAGTCGGCTGGGATAGGCTCCAGCCCCCCTCTACCCTAGTGAGGAATAAGCAGTGTATAGCTAATGGATGGATGAAAAGTATATATCTAATTGTGCTGGCAGGCTGGCTGTTGGTTATAGCATCATACTTATACATACAAAATGTCAAACTTCTTGAACATCTAACATTACAATGTGTTTATCCATGCAAAGCTAAATGCTTGGTGGAAGTGGCGTGACAGTTGCATGAATTTTCTCATCTAATTTTTAACTGGAAAGCAAATAAGTGGATTTCTTAAAATGTTGAACTTTAAGTGCCTCTGCTGAGTCATTTCGGTGAGAGTCATGTGCGATGCAGTCAGCTTGTTGTAGCTGCTTATGTGGGTGAATCAAAATGACATCCTCACACCAATTTGCAAACCTATTTGCCTGCTTACTTTTATTTCTTTTTGCAAATATATGTATCCCAATACATACAGTGTATTTTAATCAAATCCTTTTTTTAAATTGCTCTGTAATATTTTTACGTAGCTCTTGCAACTGTCCAGGACTGATGTCACACTGAGTGGGCGTCACTGCATTAGAAGGAGGCCTTTGCTCCTGGACTTCCCACCACTTTCAAAGCCTACCAAATTATAGGTATTTATTTTAGCTATT